TCTGTGTACCATGTGTGTGCAGTTCCTGTGGAGGTCAGAAGAGGATGTTAGTTAGGCCCTCTGGAACTGGAGCTACAGACTATTGTGAGCCATCATGTGGGTGTTGGGAATCAAACCTGAGTCTTCTGGAAGAGCAGCCAGTACTATTACTGCTGAGCAGTCTCTCCAGTCCTGATTTCTAGGTTTTGCAGAAAATTCGTTTGATGTGCACCCATGTTCTTCTATAGTTGTGGCTTCCTGGAGTTGGGGAGGTTCTGACTCTCTGAATGGGGAATACATGCCACAGGTTTTTGCTTCTTGCTAACAGTTGATGTGGTTTGCCTGGCCCCTGAAGGCATCTACGTGTTGCCCAGACATTCAAGGTAATGATTTCTTTCCTAATATATCTTAATAGTTGCCAGCTCTTAGCCTGTCTTGTAGATTATAGATGTATGGGTGGAGAAGGCATCAACAGACTTCCCAGTCAGTTATGCCTGCAGAGCCCCTAGATGGGTATCTGTGAGCCATGTTCAGTGACTCTGTAGCAGGTGGGGTTTGGACTCAAGCTCAATTCCACCTCTTCCAGTGGATTTAACTTATCTTTTCTACCATATGTGTTGTTTCCGGTTCAGCTGAGCTGTACCCCGCACAGTGTTTTATCCCAAGCTAAGACACAGCTTTTCTTTCTTTCCTTAGCCAATCCTGCTAGCCCATGCTTCCCAAGTAATACTTCCCTGGGTTTTTTTTTCCCCCTAGATATGACCCCTGATGGTTTGACCTTCTTCTAGTCCAGGGTTTATAAATAAGAAGTTATGCACATCTTAGTATGTGCATATCTACATCTTAGATGTGTAGATAACCTCATTCTGCCACTGGATGTGAAAACCCTGCTCACTACACCCTAGCAACCCAGGGCAGAAACCATTTCATAGTCATTAAGGTCTAACCCAAACCAGGGACCAGTATGGTATGAGATGCTCAAAGTATCTGTCTCTGGGAATACATTGCTAATCTAAGGAGCAGATGTATTAATAATCTACTTCAGGGACTGGGGAGATGGGTCAGTGGTTAAGGGTGCTTTCTACTCTTGCAAAAAGGTAGAGTTTGGTTTCCAACACCCATGTTAGATGATTTACAACTGCTTATAACTCCAGCTCTAAGGGATCTGAAACTCTTTTGGCCTTTCAGGGCACCTCCACACATAACACACACACACACACACACACACACACACACACACTAAATTTAAAAAAAAAATCTACTTTAAGATCAAAGAGTTGGATCAACAGACAGGCACTTGCCACCAAGCCTGACAACCCAGGTCCTGTTCAATCACCAGGAATCCCATAGTAGAAGGCAAGAACTGGCTCCCACAATTTATTCACCAATCTCCACACAGCATGGCACAGGTGTGCATACAATAACAACATACAAATAAATTAAAAAATGTAATAAGTTTTAAAAAGAATCTATACTTCTTTGCTGTTACAACTTGAGACTTATTCTTCCTCAATGGTGTGGTTTTGTTTTGTCTCTCCTGTAAACACTTCGGGGAACACTAACTTCCATTATGCCGTTTACTCGATTTCTTGGAGTCTCAGTTATTTGAGAAACAAGGTAACACCTGTGTGCTCATCCAGATGAAATAAACCACTAGAGTTAAAAGGTCAGTACATTCCTGGCACACGGTGCCTGCTCAGTGCATATTCCTGGTACACAGTGCCTGCTCAGTGCATATTCCCGGTACATGGTGCCCGCTCTGTGCACATTCCTGGCACACGGTGCCCGCTTGGTGCATATTCCTGGCACACAGTGCCTGCTCAGTGCATATTCCTGGCACACGGTGCCCGCTTTGTTCATATTCCTGGCACACGGTGCCCACCTGTGCATGGCTTTTCTTCCTATGTGGAAACTTACCCATGATTTGGAAACCAGTTGAGGCTTACTCTGTTTTTCCAAAGTATTTCTTAAGAAAGAGCAGGTCCAGAGATTATGGTTTATCTGTCCCAGGTTTTTTAAAAAATATATTTTCTTTTAAAAAAAGTTATTTCAAGAATCAATGGTTTAGCCATTCAAAGAACACCTTTAAGTTATAACCAACAAGGTAAAAATTAATTGAAGAAAATACTGCCAATGAATGGTAAAACCAGCAGACATATATGTGGAGGAAAAAGATATTCACAGTCTTATATTATCACCCTATGGACTAATTAATAATTATAAGAAGAAAAATCAAGTTTTACATTTGGTAGAAGTCACTTTATGCAAGAGACAAAAAACTGACCAGCCAAGTTGGCACATGTCTTTATTCCTAGTACTCAGGAGCCAGGGGCAGGGTCTACATTGTGAGTTCCAGGCCAGCAAGGGCTATATAGTGAGGCCCTGTCTCAAACTATAACAAGAACAATAATAAAAAAAATGTCATAATTAACATGGACCAAAGCAGCTCTTAGAAAGTGAGGCAGTAAGGACATGACTTTAGCTTTGCAGTGTTCCTGCAGAAACAGAAAATTCCCTCTTTGGACTCTACCGACAAGGGAGCAGTTAGGCAAACCCAAGGATTTGTGCTGTGTTAAAAACAAGTGAGCTGGACTCTTTAGATGAATCCACTTGGGGACACCCTCCTCTCAAAGGAAAACTTCTCAGAAGGAGCTAAAGAGATATTATTATAACCATCACATGCAGTCCTTGATCAGATCCTCAGAGGGAAAGAGCACAGCTGTCCTGGCTGCTCTAAGCACAGCTGGCCATACTTGCATATGAACTACATACTGGACAGTGCAAAAGTGATGAGAAGCTGAGCCTGTGGCCCACTTAGGTTGTGATTGACCCACTGTTTCTCAAGTGCTTCAGTGTCTGAACACGGAGGTTACATTACATGGAGATTTGTTCCACTGGGCTGATCCAAATAGTTTCAGTCAGTGGAGAACACAGACATTTTGGGGGGACAGTTCTAACTGCACAAAGAGGGTGCTGGATAAAGTTCTTCTCTTGTGTCCTGTGTGTGCAGCTACACGTGTGTGCTGTGTGTGGAGGCAGAGGGTCATTTCTCAGGCACCATCTGCCTTTTGTTTGAGAGCTGCAGCATAGGCTGGAACCTCGCTGAGTAGGTGGAGTAGCTGGCCGGCAGGCTCCGGAAGTACCTGTCTCCACTTCCCGTCTTATCAGTGAGCACTGTCCTGAGCCTAGTTTTTCGCATGGGTTCTGGAGCTCAAACACATCCTTGTGTTTGCAAGACACACTTTACTGACCAAGCCATCTCCGCAGCACTAAATGTGAAGTTGATTGTAGCCCGTGGAACCCAGAGCACGGTCTTCATTTTACTCATCCAGGGATACCTTGACTAATGAAAATAGATTGCTCTAAAAACCGTGGCGAAATTTCTTCTTTTAGTGGGACAGGGATGGCGAAGCAGCTGGCAGGAGCAGCCCTGGCGGTCTCCGTCGACGTCTGTGGTTTATTAGTCTGATATAAGGGGACATTATGGAAGACTGTGGCAGCCTGGTTGGCAGTCACTAAAGAAATTAAACGTTCAAGCTGCCTCTGTGTCAGAGCGGGCGGCAGACATGAGCAGCTTACTTTGAGTTCCAGTAGCAATGATATTTTCATTACCGGTGTCCTCAGGCACAGGCTTTTTAATTTAAACCAGGAAGGTAAGTTCAGGATGGCAATAGCCCAGCACCGCAGGAGCATTGCTGCACCAAAACACAGCGTACCTTACCTGCCAATCTTAGCAGCATGCAGGGTGGTTTGGGGTGGCTGGAAGGAGGGTGGAAGAAAGGTATCAGGAAAGAGAGACCCAGTGTCCTGAAAAAGCTGGGGATTTAGTTCTAAAGGAAGATGGATACCTCAGGGTTTGTACCTTTCTGACTGGTGAGGTGATTATTCGGGCGTGTATCAGTTGTAAAGCTGTAACACCTCTCTTTGAAGATCTTTGGCTGATACAAGTTGACCACAAATTTGTTGTTATCATCTTCATTAGGTGGGTTTTATGAACTTTGCCTCAGTCTGAACCGGTTATGTCTGCTCAGAAAACAGACCGCAGCCACGGCACAGGTTGGGGTGTGGCCTCTTACAGGACTGCACTTTCCATTGCTTGCTTCTCAGAGCACTTACAGTAGCACCTTGCTGAAGGGGTCTCAGCTGCAGGGAGGGCTGGCAGCCACCTGGTAAGACATCATGGCTCTGCTGCCCCCTGGATGACATCATAGAACAGGAGCAGACCAGCCAGGGCCAGTGTGCACTTGAGAATCCCAGAACCACAAGCAAGAACACTTGTTAAGCCACATAATATTGGGTCTGGTTCCCTCTGCAGTAAGATAACCTAAGCGTGACTGAGAAGCTTGTAGGAATAAAGACTGGAGTCTAGGCGTGGTGCTGCAAACCTGTAGCCCCAGATTTTGAAGTGAAGGCATGAGGATCAGAAGTTAGGACCTGGATGGGTGACACACTGACTAGGAGCCCTGCAAGGACTACGTGAGCCTCAGGGAGGGCTGTAGGGAGAGAGGGTTGTGTAGTGGAAGGTGTAGGGAGGGAGGGCTGTAGGAAGGGAGGGTTGTACAGGGGAAGGTGTAGGGAGGGAGGGCTGTAGGAAGGGAGGGTTGTACAGGGGAAGGTGTAGGGAGGGAGGGCTGTAGGGAGGAAGGGTTGTATAGGGGAAGGTGTAGGGAGGGAGGGCTGTATAGAGAAAGAGGGCTGTAGGGAAGAGACACAGAGATTGGCCTGGGAAGTAGCAGTTTTAGAATTCATGCTTAGCTTGAATGAGGTCCTGCTTTCCATCCTCTTCCTCCTCATCAAGAAAAAAACAAAGTGATTTGTCTTATTCAACAAGGCAGAATAACAAAGCCAGGGAAGCAGGAAGCATTGGCCAAGCAGGAAGAGAACAGGCCACAGCCTTATGTGTCTGTGGACCTTTAGAGCTGCTCCAGCCGCCAAGAGCTCTTTCTGACGCTCAACATAGGGACAAAGGAAAAATTTCATTTCAATCCATCCTATCCCAACATGTGTGGTCTACACAGGACTCATTTTTTAAACAGAGTTTATTGTATTTAATACATTATAAAATCTGAAAAAATTGTAGGAAAGCAGCAGACTGAAACTGGAGATCTCTAGCAAGAAATAGCTCTGGCCCCTCTGCCAAATGATCAACAATCACCATAAAAACAAGGAAAGGTCACAGTTGGGAGGCGGACAAAAAAGTGCCCCTCCTGTAAAAACCGCAGTTCAAGTGTCCTGTCTGTGTACGTCCGATGCCGTGTGCTCCAGTGGTCCTCGGATTCCCTCCTGGTCCCTACCTGATGAAACATGACACCTCCACTTGCAAAGAAACACCAGCCGAGGTGTTTTGTTTTGTTTGTTTAAAAGAAAAAAAAAAGAAAAGGAAGAAAGATAAAGGAAAAGAGAAACAACGGATGACTGTTGGCAATTGGCAGCACAAGGAGACTCTGTCCTCCCTGTCATGGCTTATTTACTGGACAGAGACCTCAGAGGCCCAGGGCACGCGTGGCCATCGCAGCACCCACTGTAGCTCTCTCTCTCTCTCTGCATTTCCTACCTTTTGACATATATATATATATTTATATTTATATATTTTTTTACATCTTCAGGATATCATGATTCCAATTGTTCCCATATGAATACAGGTGTGATTTCCAGAGCATAGAAACGTCTTTTATTCAGTGGTAGCTGCAGAGCTTGGTTTACTGCCCCAGCTGCACACAAATGTTCCTTTTCGCATATTGTTAGGTTGTGTATGTTTTCTTTTTGCATAAGAAATATGTCTGTTTAGTCCAGTGGCTCCTGTTTTATCCGGATGACTGAGGGTACGCGGGGTATCCGCCTCAGCTCCCGGCGGAGGACGTATTCACTGAACTGGGACGAGTCCACTCCTCCCCCACAGGAGCCCACAATTTCAAATCCTCGCTGCTGCAACCGCTCGAGGACCTGTGAAGACAGCAAGACAGGCATCTACTTAGGGGCAAGGCAAGTGCATCGGCCACATAAACACATCAAAGATGTGTTCCGAAGCTCAATTCTCGTACATTCAAGAATGAAGGCAATGGTTTATCGCTAGAAAATTAAGCTATTTCTAGCTGGGGCTGTCACTTGTGGGAGAGTGCTTGCCCAGCATGCACAAGGCCCTGGTTTTGACCCCTAGGACCACAAACAAACAAACAAACAAACAAGAAAATACTTTAAAGGTCTCCTTTACCCTAAATGCTGTTTAATTAAATGTTGTTTAATTTCAAAGTTAAATGCTAGCCACATCCTTGCATTTGCTGTATGCTGGACACTTGGGTACGGGAAGCCACCCTGTGACTCTGAGATAAGGAGACATGGAGCTAACTGCGCGCACTCTGTTTCTTTGGCAATCTAACAGATAGTTCACTGGATAAAATCAGACTGCACACGTCTCTAAAGGAAAGGGACACCATAAACCATAACTTTAAAAGATAAGCTTGCTTCAACTTTCTTCTGTTTTGAGTGGAGTGAAATGCTGTTAACTAACTCTCCAGCTGTCAGTAATAAAGTGGACCATATTTGATGTCATGCTCAGCACTTGAAAGGCAAAGGCCGGAGGATCAAGAGTGTGGGACCAGCCTGGGCTACAACCCTAACTATAACTAAGCAAGGCAATCCTAATTATAATTAATAGTTTAATTAATTAATTAATTAAATGCAGTGCTAGGGACTGAAGCCAGCATCTTGTGCATGCTAGACCAGTGCTCTACCACTGAGCTACATTGCCTCCAGTTTCTTAATTATCAGTTCTTATCACCAACTTTTACACAGAATATAGAAGTAAAATAATGTACTAGGAGAGACTGGAAAAATGAGGATGTGTTCCAAATACAAGGCCCGGACTGAGAACAATTGCAAGCGCTCTCCACAGCACTCAGCTGGTACAAGTGAACTCACTTTGCACATCCACTCATGGGACTAAGGACAGTCACCTCATTGTGCTCTGGAAGGATCTTCTACCCCATCAGGAGAGGACATATGGGCACGAGGAGCCACTGGACAGCAACAACCTCATTCTCATGCTCATTTCCCCAGGGGTGTCATGGAGGTTTTCATACACAGAATGTGCCGAGTATCTGGTGTGGCCCAGTACTTGTTACAGGGCCTCGTAAACTGCTTAGGAAGACATTGCTTTGTTTTCTAATTTTTTCAATTATTTATTTACATCTGTATCCTCTCTCTCTCTCTCTCTCTCTCTCTGTGTGTGTGTGTGTGTGTGTGTGTGTGTGTGTGTGTGTGAGTGACCCAGCAACTGAACTCAAGTCCTCAGACTTAAAGGCAAGCACGTCTACCAGCTGAGCTAACTCACGGGGTGGTTAGACATGAAGTCCATAGCAAAGTTCCTTGGTTTTAGGAACGTCTAAATGACTGGGTGTATCTGCAGGTATCTGATGCCCTGTCCCTAAGTCTCTGTGTGCTGACAGACAGGTGTCTGCCTCTTGGTGGTGGGTAGAGTGGGAAGCAAGAATGGCTGTGTGAGTGATGAAGGTGGAACAGGTGGGACTCCCACAGCTGATCTGGTCATTGGATAAGGGGAGGGGCTGAGACCTTCTTACTCTGCCTTTGGATGCTGTGGTCAGCACAAGGGGCGCCTAGAAGGGTGAATGGGAGGAGAAAGGCTTGAGGCTTCACACGCATTTAGAGATAACACAGTCTCTCTCTCTGTCTCTCTCTCTCTCTCTCTCTCTCTCTCTCTCTCGTGTGTGTGTGGCCGTGTACGATCACCTCATACCTCCAGTGGGTGCCATCCACAAAGATGAGAATGAAACTGTTGCCCTCTGGAACCCTAGTAAGACTGGGTCCCTTCCTCTGAGCTTCCTGCTATTCTGCTCCATGATAACTGCTCATACATTTGAAAAATTATAAACAGTGTGGAACAATTTCCCTGAGGCAGCATAATCCCATGAGTGTTTCTAGCCTTTCAACTTTTTTTAAAAAAAATTTATTTATTTATTATGTATATAATATTCTGTCTGCATGTATGCCTGCAGGCCAGAAGAGGGCACCAGACCTCATAGATGGTTGTGAGCCACCATGTGGTTGCCGGGAATTGAACTCAGGACCTTTGGAAGAGCAGGCAATGCTCTTAACTGCTGAGCCATCTCTCCAGGCCCTAGCCTTTCAACTCTTGGAGAGCACTTAGTGGTGCTGGGGATGGAATATAGATAGGGCTTGCATTCGCTAGGTGAGCACTTTGCCACTGAGCTATGTCCCAGCCCACTGATGGCTACATAGTGAACAAAGTCATGGGCCAGTTCCAACTAAAGAGAGCAGGCGCCTACAGCCTTCTAATAGTGTTCAGTGTTGCAGGGCTCTGGGGAAGACTCGGGTGTGCCTCTGTGTCCTCACCACAGGACAGGCACACTAGCAGAGCTTGCTGTCAGAAGACAGTGACCCACTGGCCACAGTCGGGACTGGGGGATGCAGAACAGAGACTCAGCACCCTGAGCTAAGATGGACACAGCACCTGTCAGCATCTAAGGCACATAGCACCAAATCATCAATCCCACCCCCATGTTTTCTTCTCCCAAAGGTGTCTCCACCACAGAACATGACAGTTCCATTCCACTTCTGTCAGAAACCTGTAGGGCTTCTTACAGCTCCCAGCCACAGTCGGAAAAGCTTGTCAAACCAGCAGTTGGGACACTCAGACCGAGACCACCGCTTGGTGACCTGCCTCCTCCTTCTCCATTATCATCTACTGTTGGGTTTTTGTTTTTGTTTTTGTTTTTGAAGACAGGGTCTCAATGTAGATAATGCTGGCCTTGGACTTGCTAATGAGCTGAAGCTGACCTTGAATGTCTTTATTTCATTTACACACACCCACACACACATACCCACACACACCCACACATGCGCGCGTGACTGCTTGTCAGGATGAGCATCATTTGTGTGCAGTTATCCAAGGAGGCCAGGAGAGATCACCAGACTGGAGTTGCAGGCACTTGTGAGCCAACCAATGTGGATGTTGGGTACTGAACCCACGTGGTCCTCACCATGGAGTCATCTCTCTAGCCCTGACCTCAAGTTCCTGATCCCCTTGCCTCTACTTCCCAAGTGCTAGAATTATATAGGGTTTGCACCACAGCTCATTGGGTACTAAGAATCCCAGTGCCCAATTCATGCTGGGTAAGCCCAACTGATCTGCATTCTTGGACTCTGGAGTATTTATTTTAGAACAAAGTTACGGCAGCTTCCTCTTCTGTTCAAATTCATCTTCCCATCTTCTGGCTTTCCTCTCGTCTCCCACAAGCGAATGAACTTATCAGCAAACACCGCAACCCTTCTCTCCCCACTAAAGCAGAAAATCTCGCCAAGGCTCACCACGACTGTCTCGCGTCATCCCTGCCCTCAAGTGCTATACAGACTCACTCTGGTTCCTTTCCTTTAAGCGACATTCCTGATAACACTCAACAAGGTGAGGGCACTTCTGCTGTGGGCTCCTTGCAACTTGATCTTTCTGTGTGGAAGACCACTAGGGGTTGGGTATGGAGTATACCCCACAGGGCTGGGCGTAGAAAGCCTGTTCTGCAGCTGGCGGACTCAGTCACTGAGGACACTAACTGAATCAATTCCTTGATTCGCTGATGGCTTCATAGTAAATGGGCTGTCAGGAGGTGGGGCCTGATTGGAGGAAGTAGCTCACTTGAAGATGTACTTCTGAGGGGTACATCATGCCGGGGCCACTTCCCTTTGTTGCCCTCTTTTTTTTTTTTTCTGGTCACCATAAGATGAGCGACTCTCCTCTACCACACCTGTTAGTAATGATGCTTTACCTCACCGCAGCCCAATGTGCACCAAGTGATCACCTCTGAGACCACGAGCCAAAACAAATGAAGTTGTTTCTCTCAGGTGCTTGTTACAGTGACAAACACTAACACAAAGACTGCCCCAGACGTCCTCTTCTTACTATGCTCAGGGTTTATGGTGGTTAATGTCTCTCCCCACCCACTTTTGAGACACAAACTCCACAAACACAAAACGTTGTCTGTTTTCTTCTGCATCACCTGTACTCACAATAGGTGCACATAGTATCGGGCACATAGTAGGTGCTCAACAAAGACTTGTGGATTTATGGGATGGATGCTGAGAAACCACCAGCCCAATGTAAGCATTGCCTAGGACAGTTCCTCAGCTCCCTGCAGGAAAGGCACTGATGGAAGAAAGGTTAAGCGACGGCACCGAGAACGGCGCTGGTGCCGTAAGGTGTACGCCGACATACCTGGACTGAGTTGAGGTGACAGTAGCCGTTTAGTGGAAACCTGATGACATGTGTGGAGTCGTGATTCCAGCCTGCATTGACCGAGTTGCACATCACATCCCCGATCTCTGGAAAGACTTCTTCTATCAAGGACTTGTCCCCACTGAGGGTGATCCTTTCTCCAAGGTCCGGGGCCACACGCACCACGAGGCACTCACAGGGCCGTGAAAAGCGGCCAGTTTCTCTGTCCTGTTTCCATCGTTCCATCTCCAACAACATTGGCTGAAGTTGAAAATATTTTGCCTCTTCATATAACAAAGTATAGTCCTGGGGGGGATTAAAAGGCATTTCACAGTGGGAAACACATATATGAGGTGCCAAAATAGTTGTGCTTTGTTTGATTTGTTTTGCTTAGGTTCTTACAAGATAGCTCAGGTTGCCCTTGAACTCATGGTCCTCCATGCTCCCTAGTGTTGGGACTACAGGTGTGTGGCCTTGAACTCATGGTCCATCCCCCCCCCCCAGTGTTGAGTCGACTTGTGTGTGTCCTTGAACCCACGGTCCTCCTGCTCCAGCCCAGTGTTGGGATTTCAGGTGTGTGGCCTTGAACTCATAGTCCATTCCCCCCCCCAGTGTTGGGATACAGGTGTGTGAACTCATGGTCCATCCCCCCTACTGTTGGGATACAGGTGTGTGGCCTTGAACTCATGGTCCATCCCCCCTACTGTTGGGATACAGGTGTGTGACCTTGAACTCAGGGTCCATCCCCCCCAGTGTTGGGATACAGTTGTGTGTGACACTTCTGGGCACAACAGAGCCACTGTAGCCATGAACCCACAGCAGCCATGGCCCTCTGCACATTCCAGCAAGGAGGGAGAAGGGCTCACAAGCCTTCCCCTAGTGATGGAGCTTTTGATAACCGATGACTGGAAGGAGAGGAAGAGTCTGTTTTCTTTACAGGAGTGGCCCTAGTGGGCTGCCCACGCCCCAGGGATGGCCGCCTGGGCAGCAGGTATGGCTCTGCCTGCATGAGCATGTGCTCAACACAGACCAGACTCAGTGGGTTAATTTTTAGAAAGAAGAAATGAAATTGGAGTAGGGATTAGGGAGTAGATTTATGAGGAGTTGGGGAAGGAGTGGGGATCAAAATACAATATTGTATGCATGTATGAAGTTATCATATAACTAACTTTAAGTGTTATATTGAAATTGATGTCTGTTCACTTCTGTTGTATTTCAGTAATCAAATCTCAATGCAAACATTTCACGTACAACACATTTGTAGAGACTCCATTTGCACTAACTCATTCACTCTTCGTGCAGGCTAGATTTCTGTCAACTTATCACAGCTAGAATCATCTGAGAAGAGGGACCCCAACTGAGAAGATGCCTCCATGAGATCGGGGTGTGGGGCAGCCTGCAGAGCATTTTCTCAACTAGTGATCCATGTGAAGGGCCCAGCACATTGGTGCTATCCCCGGGCTGGTGGTCCTGGGTTCTACAAGATGGCAGGCTGAGCAAGCCATGGGGAGTAAGGCAACAAGCAGCACCCCTCCACGGCTTCCATCAGCTCCTGCCTCCAGGTCCCTGTCCTGACTCCTTTGGTGACAAAACAATGCTATGGAAGCGTGAGCCGAATAAACCTTTTCCTCCCCAAGTTGCCTTGGCCCTGGTGTTTCATCACAACAACAGAAACCCTAAGCAAGGCATTCATTCATTTCGTTAATGATACCGGGGATTAAGGGCTAGCAGATAGGCCTGCTTAAGGGATTTTCATGAGTTAAGCCCTCAGATCACCTATGAAATCAGGCCCCATCCTTACTCCCATTTCACAAATGAAAAACTGAAATGTGAAAGGATTCACCTTCCTCTTTCAGTTCAAAAATCTACCCGGGGATCTCAAGCTTGAGGGTGTTGGTGGGAATCCAAATTTAGTCTGCTCTGCTGGACGCCCAGGAGGTTAGGCTCAGCTGCAGATACACTCATGGGGGCCTTCCGTGCTTGCCACCTTCAGAACTCATGGTGGGAAGGTGTAGGCAGCAGCAGGGCCTGGGGACAGGCTTGAGTGGGTGTCTAGAGGATGCGCATGTGGCTTTTATTTAAACTTGGGTGTTGGTATGTGATGGGTTAGGCGAGGCTGATAGAGATTTGGAAGATTCTCACCCTGCCCCTGGCTGCCGGTCACTGTTGTCTCAAGGCAAAGATGCAAACAGCACACAACTCTGACTTCTGTGAACTGGGAGAGAAAGGGGACCTTTTCCATTTCTGAAAGACTTAGGCATTCTCTGCCTCAAGCCATACACAGATGGCCTGAATTAAAGCCCCAAATCCAGGGAGTAGGTAGTAAAATCCACACAGGAGCTACTGAAAGAGGAGACAAAGAGAATGGGGCCAAGGACGGGATGGAGAGGCAGCAGGAGAGGCGGTGTTAACAAGCAGGTCAATATTATGTTTCAATGTAGCTATGGTCACAATCATCCCTGGGTGTTAGATAAGTGGATACTTGTCCAGACATGTCGACTGAGAACACTTTAATCAACTGACAAAGTCATTTCTGCCTTCCTTCCATGAACCCAAGCTGACAGGTGGTGGTTGCTATTCACATGAGAGCCAGCTCTGTAAATACATGGCCTCATGACTCTAAGAGCAAGGGATGGACCAGAAGCAGAGGATGGTCCAGAACTACATTTACAGTTCCCTCCTCCTCTCCAAGGAAGCAGTAACCATGGTAGCAGCTTCATTCACATCTTTGGGACCTGAAGAATGGTACAATGGTTTATACTAGTGTGCCTCTCATTGGACAGTCCACTTCCTCTATTGGGAAATAAGGACCAGATGTAAGATGCTGTCATGGACACCCATCTCACAGAATTTGGTACTTCTTTACTCAGCCTTCCACCTCCCCAGCAAAGGAAGACGTGTCTCTGCCAATCCTCCTTGCCCGTGGCTCTGTTTGCATGGCCTCCTGACCCTGGGAACACAGTTTGGTTTTAAGAAATTGAGACTTAGCTGAGATGTGTCCACTCTCAAGATAGGGCAAATTCAAGTTAGGTATGTTTACATAATCACAGCATTTTTGAGGTAGCGGCAGGAGGATCAGGAGTTCAAAGCCAGTCTTGGCTACAGGAGACTCTGTTTAAAGACATAAGAACAAAAGAATAGGGTAGGTGTGGGGTGCACACTTTTAATCTCAGCATTTGGGAGGCAGAGGCAGGAGGATCTCTGTGAGTTCAAGGTCAGTCTGGTCTACTAAGAAGCTAGTTCCAGGACAGACAACTTGGGTGTGGTCTCTTAAAGGCTATTGGCTGAAGGAGCAGAAGGAGCTCCCGCAGCAGATCCCTGTCGCAGTGACAAAGTGGATGGAGTGCTGAGGCTGATCTCTGGCCTCCAAGTGAGTACACATATTCCTGTGCGTATACACACGTACACTCCCCAGACAAAACCTAGAATCAATCATAGTGGCTATGCAGGAGGTTGAGAAGGGAGGATTGAAAGTTCAAGGCCAGCCCAGGCAACTCAATTAGATGCTGTCTTAAAAAAGGAAAAGGAAAACTTAAGTAAGGGTCAGGATGTAACTAAGTAGCGCTGGTCTAACATGTATACGGCTTTGGGTTTAAGCCCTAGCCCTGCAACACACACACACACACACACACACACACACACACACACACACCCCTAGATCCTGCATACAAAAAGAAAATGTGATATTAATGCTTAATTTGCTTAACATTATGACTCCCTAGTTCCATCTCTTCTGCTACTTGCATGATTTTGTGCCTCTTTACTGCTGAATACAATTCCATTGTGTGTACATACTATACTTTTTTTTTGAAATTTTATTATTTACTAGTGTGGGCCAATGTGTGCCATGATGTGTGTGGGTATCAGAACAACTTTGTGCAGGCAGCGGGTCTGAGAATGGAACTTTATCAGTCCTGTGATGGGCATCTGGGCTGGCTATGTATCCTGGCAGCTGGGCGGCATTAAGCATGGATGAGCAAGTACCTGTGGGAAGCTGCCTTAGATCCCTTCGGCTGCTTACACAAGTCCAGTACTTGTATTTGTGTGTGCATGTGTGTGGCACCTGCATAATGATTTCCACAGTGGTCACACCAGTGTGCCTTCCCACCAGCAGTGTGTAAGGGCTCCTCTCGCCCCCCTCTCACCAGTACCTGTCGTCATTAGCTCTCTTATTGACCCACATTCTCACAGGGGTGGGATGAAACTGGAAAGCAATTTTTAACTGCATTTCCCTGACACCTCACAATCTCGAACATGATTTCAAAAGAGTATCTTTTATCTTGTAAAAATCCATTAAAATGCATGAAATCCGACTGTAAGACCTGGAACTCTAAACTTGCTAGAGGAAAGCATAGGCTAAACACTTTAAGATATGCCTCGGAAGGGCTTTCTGGACTGATCAAGAGGACTCTTGAAGCTAAAGGCTTCTGTACAGGCTAGAAGACAGCAGCCACGAAAGAAGAAGAAGAAGAAGAAGCCACGAAATAGGAGAAAAGCTTTGGCAACTATATACCTGGTAGAGGATTAATACCAAGAATCGGTTAAAAAAATTACAAAAATTTAATAACCCAAATCCAAATCAACAAATGGGCTGATGAACCGAGTTCTCCAAGGCAGAAAAACAAATGACCAGAAAAGTAGAAAAAAAATGTTCCACGTCCTTAGGGCCAGAGCTGTTGTGATTTTACCTTTCGCTGACTCGCCCTTCAAACACTGTGGCCTTGCATCATGCTGGCTGGAATTAACCTTCCAGCTCGCTCTCATTTGTCGTGCCTCTGAGGGGCTTCATCAGCCACTTGTACATGACACTGCTGATGTGCTCCCTAACACTCCAATAGCACACAACACTGAAGGTGTCACTCAAGAACGTTCAGGGCAGCCTCTGCTCAGCGAGAGGTTCGCCGCTGCTGAGGACACCATGTTTCCAGTTGCTGCGGGTCAGAATGGAAGAGGTGAAAGGAAAGAGCCAGATGGCTGGCAGCATCCCCTTCGCCTTCCCAGCCTGCGTGATGTGAACTGGACCACGCATTCTCCAGCACATTGGATACAGCCTTCTAAATCTGTGAGCCAAAGTAAACCTTTCCTCAACAAAAGTAGCAAACATTGTATAAAGGTGATTCTCAAAGTCCTGGTCAAAAGCGTCGGGGTCTACGCTGGCGTCTTAAGGACAAGTCTTGCTTCCAGAGGCTGCCCGCAGCCGTTCCGTCCTCTGCCTGCATTGCCACACGTCTTTTTCTGACTCTGACTTTCCTGCCTCCTCTTGGATTTTTAAGAACCCCCATAACACAGTACACCCAGGTAATATG